ACTCTACCACTTAGCTATCTATACCCACGCCCCCAAACCTGTGTCTTTTAAGAGCCTCTTACTGAGATAGACAGATAATTGAATCAAGAAGTATGTAAACAGATAAAGGGTAATAATCAAACGGGAAAATATATCTAATAATCAAATGGGAGTTTCCTGCTTTGGAAACTCCTGAGGCTGAAATAGAAAGAAACTGTGGAAAATTTCTCTTAAAGGTAGTAAGCTAAATCTCTCAAGTACTTAAAAAAAATAGTAAGACCAGTACTGATCCATCCTGAAGCAGGTTGGAACTGGTCAGGTACTAACTATAGCATGTGAATTCAGTGCACGGCTTGCCCAGGAATTTGGTGGCGCTGTGCTCTTGAACGTACATTCCTTTTTGTGAATGTTCAACCTTAGGCTGTGACCTTACGTGGCTTTAAGAGGACACTAAAAGGGGTAACGGGTACCCGCCCCAGCGTGCTGATCAAAATCACATCTCCACAACAGCACCCTTCCCCTTAAAGTGCTCTCGCAAACTGAACCCCGTAAGTAGCCTTCACTTTCGTTCTAAACCCCGTTTTCCCTCTTTGATGACAGGAAAAGGGTGGGCATCTAAAATATATTTACCACTGCCTTTAGACTCCTTTATCACTTAAAAAATTTCAAATATCCGGTCCGTCTGTGGTTTATTAATAAAAACAAACAATAAAAAAATCAATCTAACTCTAGTTATGCGTCCTGGCTTTAGGACACATATTCAAAGTACTGCACCCACTCCCTCAGCATTTGTTTCTACTGATGATGTCTGTACAAGTTCCTCCAAACGGCGTGGCTTACAACCACACGAATTTACTATCACGTGGTTCTGTGTGTAGTGGTATGCCTGACACTCTGATCACCATCAATAGCTAACATAGGGAATCTTGATACTCCAGTTGGTTCAACTTGGGTGCATCAAGATACTCTGAGGTGGTATCTTAGCTCACATCCACGGTTGATGACTCCAAGCATTTCAAAACTGCTTTAAGGAACACGTTCTTCCAAACAGAAGAAAAATGCACATTCTAATTCCACAATTCCTCAATAAATGACAGCAAAGGACTGACATACTGGCCTAGGATGACAGCTGCAGCAGGCAGCCAGGTACCTGAGAATGAAACATCCCTCAGGGCAGCTCACGCACCTGGTCCCAGATCCCAAGTCTAGCATCTCTGGGGCGTTTCTGACTCACACACTCTCAGCAGTGTCTTTCCGCTGCCTCAGCAAGGCGTGCTGGAACAGAGCAGCATTTCTGGAGTCTTTTTCTCTGTCAATCATTCTCAGCACTTATGGACCCAGCAGTCAGGCCCTCAGTGCCGGGCTTTCTCAGGGGACTCTCAGTGTCCACCACATGTCCACTGTGACTGCACTTCTGTGGACCCGCCAGGCAGTAGAGGGCCGAAGTGTGGTACCCGGGCATCTTAGACAGTGATGAGGCCCTGGTAGAGATCTGGGTCGCATCTCTCTGATGGGTGGCAGACTCAGTCGGAAAATCCTCAAATTCCTTCAATATACTAAGCTCTTCAAAGTTACACTACCATGTACTAAGGGGCATAAAGTACCAGTTTTGTAAGATGAGAAAGTTCGGGAGATCTATTCCACAACAGTGTGAATATACTTAACACTACTGAACTGTATGCTAAAAAATGGTTATGGTTGTTAAATTTTATGTTATGTGTGTTTTTTAACCACAAGAACTTACATCACCATGAACGTGGAAGACTAGCTCAATGAACAAAGCCAGGAGGACAATCTTTCCCCAGTGAGGACTCGCCAAGCACAACATACATCATTTTAAAAAAGCTTTTATGTAGCCCACAGTTGTGTTTTTCTTTGCTATCAACTCTTTCCAATGTTATTGTGAAAGGCATCTGAGTGTATCTGCCTTATTTCTGCTCAATGGCACAGCCTTCAAATGATTATTTTTGGCAAGGTGCTTAGGAATTAAATAAACCCTTTAGGTAAGAGTACGAAGAGTAAATAAACAAATATTTCTCCATGGGGGTTTGGTCTATACTTTCCTCAGGCATTTACTAAAGACACACAGGCAAACTTAGGAACTGTCATGGTGACATATGGAGGCCCAGCTGGTATTGGACAAAGAACACAGTTGCTGGTGCAGGGACATTTGAAGGCTTTGGATTCTGTGTGCTGGCTGTTAGGTGGGTATAACTCTCCAGCATCCAAACCCAAAACACCCAAGGGAATAATAATGAATTCTGGGAACAACCAACTTCATTTGCTATCAATGAACCCTGGGGAAAGAAATTTAAGAGCATAGAAGTACGCTGTACAACTCGAAGCCCCACAGGTGAGGTTCAGAACTGGGGTGGGAGCCTTCCAACAATACTTTCTTTTATTCCATCTCTCCCGACATGGCTGGCAAACACCACGAATGCTTCCAACATTTAGAACATGAGAATAGTAACAATCAGGGCCACCTTACACGTAAAAAGCACTATCAAATTTTAAAATATCTTTATATCTGTAGCATAATTTTATTTTAAAAAGAACTTTGTGAAACAGATCAAGTGGATGGTAGTATGTGCAGCTGAGAAACCAGAGACTTCATGGTTTGTTTCAGGCATGATTAGTGCTCAGGTTTTCTGAGTTAGTCTGCTTATAACTATCTCCTGAAACTTGAACATCTGAGCATAAGGTGGAACAAATCTCTGGGTAAAGAGATGAATTTTCTTCTCCATCTACTTATTCTGTTCCTTATAAGGGGATGCCACTGAGTCCTTTACTCTGGAAAAAAGGAAGAAAGATGCTTGAGTGGACTCTTGGGACTATCCGGGACCACGCCTTCATCACGCCCACCCCTCCTCCCGGGCTGCTTAATCATGTGTCACTGGCTTTCAATTTCTCCCTCCAACGTCCACAAAATATCTAACTGTGGCAGGAGGTCTGCTATCCTTCATTCCTTCCACTTCTCATCTTTTAGAGAAAAGGGGCCTTTTAACATCATAAAAGGGTGATCTTAGATACCCTCCCTGGTATCTGAACAACTTATCACAACTCTCAACCGGGATGATTAAAAATCTACAAGTGTTAGGCTCTCCGGCTGCCTCCTGGGACAGGGACAGGGACAGGAATCTCGGTGTCCTCGGCCATGGCCTTGGACATTTTCTTTCCGGTCCTGGGTTCTGCTTCCACAGCCTCCCAGACCCTGTGGGTCACAACAAAATCCAAGTTCTTTTTTGGCATCAGTTCTCTGCAGCTGTATTCTTTTTCCTGACTTCTGCAGACTGTTTCAAAAATATTTTAGGTGGTTTGGGGCAAATTCTATCTTTAATACAGTCCATTTTTTTTTCCTTCAGAGAAAGTTTAAAGGAAACTGGCCAGTCCTGGGGGGTAACAGAGCTTTGGAAGACACTGAGATTAGAGCCCAGACTCTTTTTTGAATGAATTCTCCTAGTTTTGTTAAACAGTAGATTCCAGGTCTGAAATGCACAACTACAAGTCAGTAACACTATAGTTTGCTAAAAAATCCCAAATCTGACCCCTCCTTTTCCTGACCCAGCTTTTCCTTTCCTAGTATTTATGTGCATGTGGCAGCCGGAGGCTGCAGAGGTGGGAGGAGAGGGTGGCAGCATCCTCAGGTGATGGTCACCAGCCAGGAATGGGGAGGCTCTGTCTACCACGGTCCCCTGATAATGTCTCTGTTGCATGGCACCTGGTGGAGACGCTGTGTGATGCTGCTGTAGAAGCACAACTGCTCCCTGCCTCCCGCCCTCAGCAGCTGGTCCACCCAAGGCTTCTTTCTGCAGCAAGCCAGCCTGTGCTCACAGCTAACTTCTGAGGGTCTACCCCAGTTCTCCCCGAAGGTTAGGAATCCTTACCATGCTAGTTCTGTGCCACTATATACAGCAGCCACCTCTGCTCTCGCTTGCCTACCCCTGCCTCCCCACCATCCTTCCTCCACGCCCTGCCATCACTGACTGCATCTGTGAGATGCAAACCATCCATGAGAAACAAGCCTCAGTCTCCTGTTTCCAGAACAGTCCCCCAAACCTCAAAGGCCATTTAGAAGCCTCCAAATTCACGGGTTAAGTATCAAGCAGGGTGGAAAGGGGAGGGGCCTGAGGCTCCTCGAATTCCACCAAGTTTTGAACCATTTTCTTCTTCATTTACTCCTTATCTTGGATCTAGGGGGCCAACGCAAGGTAGGGGCATGAGGGGTTGACTTTGAGCTGAGCTGTTTGAGGCTTAGTGTCCAGCCAAGAAGCCACTCAGCAGAAGCTGCAGAGGAACCAGCTGCTGAGGATAAGGAGTGGGGAACAGCAGTGCCCCACAGGACCATCAGGCACAGAGCGGAGGGGAGGGGAGTCCCCACCAGGGCCTCAAGCCCATCACCTTTCAGGTCTGAGACTCCGAACAGTAATCCACGCACTTTCAGCGTGCCTACCCTATGTGGTAAAAGACATCTTCCAGGGGTGCTTCACATCCCCTCGGTGTAAACGTCCAGCGCCTGCTCCCAGCACGGGTGGCCGGGGCCCCTGGCTTTGCTGCTTCTCCCCTTGCTTGTCCACCAGAGTGATGTTCCGGGCCACGCCGCAGGCCGAGGGACCCTGGATCCACAGGCACCGTGGAACTCTGATCCTAGCTCTGCTGAGCTCCTGTTTTCCTTCCAGTGTGAGCTTAACAGATACTTTGGGGGTGGAAGAAATGAACTGATTTGGAACCTGATTTGAGAGACTCGGTTCTAACTCCTTCTGCTCTGGACCCAAATGGATGATTTGAGGTTTTAACAGACAGGCTGCATTCTTGTCTCCAGGGACCACTGTCCTGCTTCTGCCTCCTGAACAAGCAGGCTTTCACGTTGATCCTCCCCCAACATATTTCACTTAAATGGGAGTGTCTATGAGTGCATTTTCAAAGCTCATTTTTTTATTGACATATAGTTGACTTACAATATGATACTAGTTTCAGGTGTACAACACAGTGATTCGATCTTTTATAAATTATACTCCATATAAAGTTATAAAATACTGGCTGTCTTCCCTGTGCTGGATATTACCTCCTTGAATCTTATTTATTTTATACTGAGTAGTTCAAAGCTCTTAATATAGCTGGAGTTCCAGGGTTCCCTGAGTAGGTACCACCTGTGCCAGGTTTGGAAGGATGACAGGAGGAAAAATCAGCTTCCTTATTTTATCTCCCCTTGTCCTTGTGGCACTGACCCACCTACATCTCAATTTTCCCTGCTTGTGATTATATTCTGGCTGCCGAGTTTAAGGACTGATCTTTTCCACATTCCCTGGCTCCCCGCTTTCCCGCAGAGTGACTAGATGGACGTCCCCTCCCATTGTCAGTTTGACTGAGGCCAGATCCGTGCATGTTTAACCTTCCATAAATCCGAATGGAACCTCTGAGCGGGGAAATGCGGTGCCCAAGCGCTGAGCATGCACCATCCTTTATTGCCATTCTGAATGCATCCCTAAGGAAATCAGACACTGTAGCAGAAAACTTTTTTTTTTTTTTGTTCTGGGCTTTCTTTCACTTTTTCTCAGTTTTCACTCACATGCCTTCGAGAGTGGCAACAGCTTCCCAACCACAAAGTACTCTCTGCGGCTTTTCCTGATCCTGATCATATTTAAAATTGGGGGTGGAAATATCCAAACTCAGTTTGCTGGCCTCTTTAGTATCTGTGTTCTCCCAAGAACATATTTCTTTTTACAGTAAACACAGGCTGTCTGTTTCCAAGGATCTGATAAGTACCATGTTGTGTGAGACAAACTCCTAATAAATACTTAAGGAACTGCGTCTCTCACTCCATCTAGACCTATAGTAAGACCTTGATGGTAAGAAACAGAGATGTGTGCCACTTAAATGGAATACTACGCAGCCATAAAAAGAACAAGATCATGCCATTTGCAGCAACATGGATGGAACTAGAGAGTGTCGTATGTAGTGAAATAAGCCAAAAAGAAAAAGAAAAATACTATATGATATCACTTTTATGTAGCATATTAAAAAATGACACTAATAAACTTATTTACAAAACAGAAACAGATTCACAGACATAGAAAATAAACTTATGGTTACCAGAGAGAAAGGGAGGGGTGGAGGGCTAAATTAGGAGTTCAGGATTTACAGATACTAACTACCATATATAAAATAGGTAAGCAACAAGGTCTTAATGTACAGCACAGGGAACTATACTCAATATCTTGTGATAGCTTATAATGAAAAAGAATCTGAAAAGGAATATATCCATGTATAACTGAATCACTATGCTGTACACCAGAATTTAACACAACATTGTAAACCGATGATACTTCAATTTAAAAAAATCTGCCAGTAGTTTTCAGATCCATTTTGGGGTGAAGACTCTTTCAGGAAAGCCAGTTGAATGGACCTTCTGGTTATGTAAAAGCAGGACCAATTTCTGATTCTGGCCTGGAGCAAATGAGGGGCCAAATCATTCTACATCATAATCCTGAAGGTTGTCTTTATTGTGAGAAAGGACTATCTTTGGAGATTTCAATGCTACTGACACAGAGCGTGAGCCTAAGGCTGTGTTTTAAGCAGAAATCGATTCTCTCTCTCTGGGTCTAAAAGAAAGTCTCAACTCCAAGAAGGGGAAAATGTCCAAAGATTCTTCTGTCGGTAGCGGCGGGTAGTGGGTGGGGTCAAGAAAAACAAAAGGCAGTGGGCTCTCCGTGTGTGGCCAGGGCATACGAATTAAGAATCCAGGGGCAGGGAGATGTAACATCCATTTTGTTTTCTTCTTGCTTTGCTATAACGCCCTTCTATCATCTTCAACCCTTTAACCAAGTTTTGTAAAAGTGGCCTTTGCTGGGATTTACAAGACTGTAGCCACACTTTAGGGAGAGTGGCACAGTGGCAGCCTGGAGAAGCTGGCAGAGAGAGAGCCAGCGGTGGTCTGGGGAAGGTGGCTGAGGAGGTTACATGGGGCAGCCAGGGCTGTGTGAGTATCAGCAACGCCCGGGGAGGGAGACCTGGTCACAGACTGAGCATCGGCATATGGATGGGCTCAGAGGGTATGCTCTTCTTTGCATATTAAATGGGATGGTGACCCCGAGGACTGCAGAACTTGGGAACATCTGGGCTATACTTAGGAATGAAAACCTCTTTAAATTAAGACAGCCAGGTTTTTTTCTTGTCATATTCACGGTCTCTCTTCCTAGCCTCCCCCTCATCTCCTCTGACTCCTAACATGTTTCCACCCACCATTTGACATCTGGAACAAAGGAGATAATCTATAAACTTTTCAGAGATGTTTATTTCTCACCCCATCATTCCTCCTGTGACCCAGGTGGAAAACAGAGGAAATACCACCAAGTTCCAAGCAACACATACTGTTATGTTAATAGCATTAACTATTCAGTCATAACACATTATATCTAAAGGTAATAAAGTTAAAATCTAAAGGTAATTTGGCACCTCTGTTTAACTTATATACGGCATCTTTCCTTAACCTAAGTTATTTGATCACCACTTGTTCCTGTTAAGATGTAGCCATGCTCTGAAAACGTTCTGGAATTGGAGCCAATCAAAGAAACTTACTTTCCATTGGGACTCCATCAAGGAAACTTACTTTCTATCGGGACTCCATTCGACAACCAGCTAATTCTGGGTTTGGGCTTGCCATTAGCTCTGCAGATCAGGGTCCCATCCTCTCCAGGGGACAGCACAAGATTTTGAGGTGCTATGATCCAGTACGGAGCCGCTTCATGAGGAAAGAAAAAAAAAAAAACAACCCCCAAAATTCAATCAAATAAGTTATCCTAGCAAACTTAGTAGACTGAACTATTTTAATAACAAATTAACATTTGTTAGTTTCACTTTTTCGGCGTGAACAGACTTATAAGTGATGTCAGAGAACATGTCACATTTTCAAAAGAATGATTCTCAAAGAGATTCACTGACATCTCTCTATTATTTCTAAAGCCTTTTCATTCAAATATTATCATCTCGTTTTACAGTCAATTAATCAGACATTAATGAGGTAACAGACTTCTCCAAGGTTGTAGAGCAATTTACAGGCACAGAGAGGGCTAAGAAATATGAATGGAAATTCTGAGCCCTGTAGAACACATATAATTATAAAACTGGGAAGCAATATTTGAAGTTTTGCATTTTTGAAAAATTGCCAAGTTGGTATAGCATATTCCTGTAAGCCCTTCTGATGTTAACATCTCACAGAACCACGGTACAGTCACCCAAACAAGACATTAACACTGGTACAATACCAGCAACTAAACTGCACTCCGGATTAGGATTTCCCAGTTTTCCTGCTGACGTCTTATTTCTGTCCAAGGACCCTGTCCTGGACACCATGTTGCATATAACCGTCACATCATCTTACTCAGTTTCCTCCAATCTGACAGTTTCTTGGTCTTTCCTTTTTTTTTTTTAAATGAACTTGAGACTTTTAAAGAATACTTATCAGTTGTTCTGTAGAACATCTTTCAACTTGAGTTTGATGTTTTTCACGATTCGACTGAGGTTTTAGGTGATGGAACCTTTTAACTGCATCTTCTCTGGGAGCACATGACATCAACATGACGTTATGACATTATTGGTTATTGATCACTTGGTTAGAGTGATGTCTGCCAGGTTTCTCCAATATAAAGTTACTATTTCCCTGCTTTCTTTCCTCTATTCATTAGAAGTGAGTCAGTAAGTCCAGCCCTCCCTCAAAAGTAGGGAAATTAATCTACTTTCTTAAGGGAGGAGGAGTGACGAATTTGTGGACGTATGTTAAGACTTCCTCAGTAATTAATTTTTGTGGGAGGGGGGAGGGGGAGAAGAAACACTCCGAGTCTATGCGAATTCCCTGCTTTTCCTTCAGGGTCCACCCAGTAATTTTAGCACTCATCACTGGCTCTTGCCGGCAATAGTTAGAGCTGTGGGCTTCTAACAATGGTGTTCTATTTCCTTCATTCTTTCTACACTTACCAGTTGGACTTTTTCTGTAAGGAAGCTTGGGGGAGCGAATTTTTAACCAGATATAGGTGCACTCTAAAGAGCAATGAGAAAGTCTTCAGGTACCATGAGTGTTGATATAAATTTACATTATTATTACTGAAGAATATAGTCAAAGGCAAATGTAACTGATGATTTAGGCAGTTGTCTCTCATGAAGGCCAGAGCCATGTAGTTTAGACAAAGATGTACCTTTAACTGTGACGGAAATGGTGTGATGGATGGCTCCCAGTGCATTTTTTGCTATACACTGGTAATTTCCAGAGTCTGCTTCTGTAACCTGAGTGATCTGCAGAGTTTTCTTAAAGTTCCTATAAAACGTCCGGTTGGCGGGGAGTGTTCCATCTTCTTTTATCCAGTAAATAATTGGGGTGGGCCTGATAAGATAAATAAAAAATTACAAAAAAAGAAGTTTACCTAACTGCTCTTGAGGGTGAATTTTCATGCGACTTTGTAACAAATATAAAGATTATCAGGACTATAAAGACATTTTAACTAGCACCACACTTCAGGAAATAATGCTCGAAACCTTCTGTTTAAGACTGTAAGTTACCATTCTCACAGAAGCAGAATTTGCTCATTCATGGGACACCATGAATTTAGACTTCAGTGGCCCAGTGAGAATGCTAGCAAGATCTGCTTTACTGAAGGGACCTAATTATCTTCTTTCAATTCTGATTGGTGAGGCCCTCTCAGAAAATTTGGCACAAAGGAACTATGTCAATCAAAGGAATTACCATGAAATTAATGATATCGACTTACAATTTTTTATCAGCTAGTTAAAAATGCTAGAGAAAGAGCTGATATATGCATATGTGCCCATGAACTTTTACTCACATTTCCAGATCAAATGGAAGAACTTTCCTAACTTGTAACATCATCAGTACCTCCATTAAAAAAAATTAAGTAAATATGTAAACCTAATCCCCCATAGCCCTCCCCAAAATAAAGAAGCCCAAAGACTTTCTTTTTTTAATGGAGGTACTGGGGATTGAACCCAGGACCTTATGCATGCTAAGCATGCATTCTACCACTGAGCTACACCCTGCCTCCATTACACCAACTTATAGAATTAGGCCAAACTCATGTATTACTTACGCCATTTCTCACCTGTGCTTCCTATTAAATCAAGAAATAGAGAGACAGATGACAAGCCAGACATAGGCTCAGAGTTCAAAGATCTGCTTCAAAATCCCAGCCCTATCCCCAACTTGCTCTCTGATCTCAGATTCCTGACCTTTTTGGGCTCAGTGTCCCCAGTTGCCTTCATGGGGATAACAGTGCTTGCTCTGATCTGGTGACTTCAGAAGGTTTTCATGAGGACAAAATAATAATCCATTCAATGCATTTGCTGAGCACTCCATGGACAAAGCACTGACTTGTGTGTTTCGAAGACAGAGATTTAAAAATAATGGCCCAGGCCCTCAGGAAGATCAGAGTACTTATCATTAGACATGCGAGTAGGAGTCATTGTAGAATTGTTTCTGTTTGTTTGATTGAATAAAAATAACTGAACTGATAGCGCTGATGCACTCAGCGTGTAGTGTCATTTCCTGACATGGCCAGCAGAGGCCTCCCTGTGTCTCCGGAGGTAAACTTATTCCTGAGGGACGATTTTGGGAATTCTAGGAAGGAATGTGAGACCATGGAGTCACAGGTCAAGGGCAGGACAGATGACACATGCTTCCGAGATCCCGGCCAATGTTTTCAGCGAACGTGCAGCCTCGACAGTGCCTGTGCCGGGCTGGGCGTGTGAAGGAACCACAGAGAAGCTGGCCCCAGTGTGTGTGCCTAATGGGACAGGTGCCCTGAAACTCCTGTCACAAGCATGTGGGTTCTGGGGGTGGCACCCGTGTTAAGGGTGTGCCCAGATGAGACATTTGCAAAGGGGCTGGGCTGGTGACTTGCCAACAGGAAGGAGGAGAAGGGGCAGGGTGCCAGTTCCGAGGCTGGGCCCTCAGAGCAATGTGCGCTTCTGTTAGGAGAATAGGCCAGGGAGGGATTGCCAGAAGGTTGTGAGAAACTCACGGCCACGAGACCCGCTGCTCTGCCCACGGCCAGCAGACCCGCAGCTGTGACGCCAGCGCGGAGCCACCTAGCAAATGCAGAAGCAGGCTCTCCACAAATCAGTGGGGTCTGGCCCGGTACAGCACAACCACCCAGCAGACAAACGATCAGGGATAAACAGCTACTGGTTTTAAGCCGCTAAATCTTGAGGTAACTGGTTACATGGCAGGAGCAAAATAATTCATTATAATCAGAGCAGTCTTAAGGTGATTGCTGAGGCTTACTTCAAAAGGAACACTGTTATATTCACAAAATATTTTAGTGACGTGAAGTTTCATTGGGCCTATTTGGGAAGGAATTATCTAATTTTTCTTGATGCTTGATGCAGTCAGTATAAGACAATGACTCTTCCTATGACATTAATGCCTCTCTATCAACCTATTATGTTTTATGAGAAACGGACATCACAGTGGGAAGTGTCAACTCACAGCCCTTCTGCAATGCACTCGAGCGAAAGGACATTTCCTCTTAACTCCTCTTTGCGACTTGTGTTGCCTCCCGGAGTTAAAAATGTCGGTGGCCTCTCTCTATGTGACTTAGCTGCAAATAAGAAAATCAATATGGCATTCAAACTTATGAATATGTACATTGAGAAACACAATTCACTCTAAAAATCTAATCCCTTTCAAAACCATTTAACACTGATTGTGAAACTGGTTCTCAACTCCACATAGACACTGTCTGCCTTACAAACAGTCATCACTTACTCAGCCAGAAGTAGAAGCAATTTTCGTTGTATGAGCACTAATAATAAGGATTATTTTCATTTTGTACAGTTTCCTAATTTGGGTTAGTTTTTTATGAATTTCCAGTGGGTTGGTAAATTTTCAGAATGTAGACGCAAAGAGGAAAATCACGTTACCAAACTATCCAGTCCTTAAGATTAGTGCTCAGGTCAAAGTGAAAACAGCTATCTTCTGGAAGCTGTTAGGTTCTTCTGAAAGGTATGACTATGGGAGGGGTATTTTGGTTTTCGCTATGGACAACACGGTGGTCAAGTCCATTGATTAACATGGAGATAAATCACGGCGAGTGTCTAATGTAACAAGATCTCCAAACTGCAAGGTTTATGCAAAACAAAACAAAACAAAACAAAACTTAGAAAGTGACTGACAGAGGTCTGGCAAATTGTGCGACATAAATTAAGAATAAGGGTGGAGTTAAAGAAACTGAAATTGGTTTCCTCAAAGGAAAAAATGAAGAGGGCTCAAGTCAGAGACCTTGGCGAGATTTATTCAGGCTGACTTTGTATTTATAGAGACCTTGTCTAAGTGTGGCCTAATCTTCTCAGAAAAACGTAGAGTAGAAATCATACCTTTATAAGGTTCTACAGCCCTTTACAGTTTTTTTTGGGGGGGGTAATTAGGTTTATTTGTTTAATATTTTTTTCAACGGAGGTACTGGGGGTTGAACCCAGGACCTTGAGCATGCTAATAAGCATGTGCTCTACCACTTGAGCTATACCCTCCCCTACCCCTTACAGTTCTCAACATTTTAGTGAACTAGCTACCTGATGCTCATAAAAGCTGAATGAAAAGGTAATAAGTGAATGATTCTCATTTCTCAGAGGAAAAATCTGAATACCAGAGACGGTATTACTTGAGACAAATTAGAACTTTCCTAAGATTTTAGAGATTGTGGAGGAAAACTTGTTGCTCCAAAATCACTTTGGGAATGATTCTGAAGCCCATATTTTTCAAGAGTATTTTAACATAAAATAAGGTAAGATTAAAAAAAATAAAAGTAAGGCAGGAGTTGTGGTGTGTCTGTGCTGGTCACTGATAGTACCTTAATGATTTTTTACTTCATGTCTCAAGAGTAAAAAATTAATACAGCAGAAATTCTGCCTTACAGATAATTAAGAGGACCCCCCATCTAGAACCCACAATTTTCCTTATTTGAGTCTATGCTTGAGAGCCACATTTCTTTCAAGGAAATCAAATTCTTTTCTTTTTATAATAATGAAGTTAAATGCTCTATTTTTAAAAAGATTACTTTCACTGAAGACAAGGACTCTAGGATTCAAACAAAACTAAGAGAAATACTACTGCTAATAGCTAATTATAAGACATTGGTAAGGTCATGTGAAGAGATGGGAAATATGATGATTTGCTATCAAAAGCCACTCAATGTTAGTTGCCTAAGGTTACTAAAACTTTGATGGGTTAGTGTTCTAGCAGGTTAATGCACCCTGTCAATTCTTATTACTTCATAAGAAAAGTTTACCAGCAAGATGATAAAATGAAAAATATAACTCTGAACATACATGGAGAATTTTTTTTCCAAATCTTACGGAATGGTTCTTTACATGGAAACAGTTACAAGAACTTTCATTATCATACATACAACATGGAACGTGTTTTAGAGACATGTTTGAAAGCTCAGAGCTGAACTTCATAGGAAACATACATTTATTCTAGTGGCATTAAACATGTAACTAGGGATTTCATAAAGAAATAAGGTTAAACAGCCATGGAGGTGAAGTTAGTGGACTAAACTCTACAATGAGGGAGGAACATCAGTTACAATCACTGTAACTCACCACCATAAAACTCAGTGTCACTCAAGTTAGCAGCTATAGTGTCATTCAATTCATCCACTGAAATAAACAGAATATTATGAAGAATGCAAAAAGGAAGGGAGAGGGTATTGCAAAAAAAAAAAGTACTGGGGAACAAAAGCAAACTCTTACAGCTCTGCTGACCAAGCAACATCCCTACCAAGTATGAACAGTGCTTTACATTGTACGTGACTATCTGATTACCTCACTCAGCCACCCCCAACCAGGACTAGGTGAGCACGTACCTAACGCAGCAGGACTGCCAATTAGAGGCATCTTGGAGCACAGAGCACGTGCAAATGCTCAGGACACCAAGGAGATCCAGAAAGTATCATGGAAACAGTAATGGTAATCACAGCAAAAAAAGTAAAATACGGTGTTTAAGGTACGCATGCTCCTTGTAACATATGTGCTAACACTAGTGACTATTCACAGCCTCTTTTCCTGAACTTGTTTCAGGAAAAGTTAGTGGTATTTAATAACGAATACCTCTGCGCATATTTGTAAATATCATTGCAAGAGAGTTTCTGGCAGCTGACCTCTTACCTGAAATCACTTTCACAGAAATAGGCTGTTTCTGCTGTATGGTTTGGGTGTGATTAAATCTGGCATAACAGATGTAGTCTTCGCGGGTATCCTCTGGGAGAACGTTGGAGAAATAAAGGTCTCCGTTCAGACCCTGGGAAACTCGCTCACTTTGCGGAAGTCTTTGAAAGGCTGGAGAAAGGCAGAGAGAGAGAGAGCTAGATCTCCATCGTAAAGTGGCCAGTTTCCAAATTAGCAAGATCAATGGATCTACTAATAATTCTATGAACTTCACTTGAATGTTTTTTTTTCTATAAAGCTCTTTGAGTAAAAGCAAATAACTGTAAAAAAAAAAAAAGACATGTATTACAACTCCATTTGTACTTGCCTGACCCTAATTTCTCTGAAGTGGGGTTGGAGGTGAGATTAGAGTTGTACTTTTCCTAATATTTAAGTTAATCCCTAATTGTTAAGCACAGATACATACATGTCTTAGAAAAAGCATTAAGGAAGCTTATAAGAATGCTAACTTGGGTTGCACCAAATACATGGTCGATACTAAATACAGTGGGATACCTAACTGTGACGAGCCAGGCCCTGTGCAAGGTGTCAGGAGGACCAGGGTCCCTGCCTCAGATGAGCTCACAGTCTAACCGAAGAATCAGGCAGTAAACAGGCAATTAACGATAGGGTGCAATGATGACCCTATTTAATGGTACAGATGTGCCCCTCAAAGGGCCCCCAGCCCCAGCCTCTCTCACCTCCTCCACTTTTCCTTTTCTGAGTTACTTACCAGCTTCTAACAGTGTGTTTCACCTGTCATGGGCACGGCTTATAGCCTGTCTCCCCGCGCTAGGAGGTCAGTTCCAGGATCACAGAGACCATCACCTGCTTTGTCTTTGGTCGTCAAACTGAAACTGTACCGGGGTGCTAACAGGGGCCCCATAATTAAGTGAATAACTGTCAGCGCTCTGAATTCCCAGTTTCAAGTTCAGCAGTTCACTTCCCCTCAGGTCCAGGGGCTGTAGCCTCAGGCATGGAGGAGAGGTTTTCTAAGGAGGCCTCAGGGAGTGGGACCACTGATCTGTGTGTGAACTCACACTTGGCTGGCTAGCACGCCTCAGGAAGCTTCTGATTCAGTTCACATAGCCTTAACAGGGAGAGTTCTTCAGCCCAGAAGTGAAAGAACTAGGAAAACAATCTCACCTCCCACCTGCCTCTGGCCAAGTGGTGTGTCTCCCGGAGGACATCTCCAGCCTGAGACAAGCAGTGACACTCTCCCTGCAGCAAGTACCCCATCTAATATTTCACAAGATGCCAAATTATGTTTAAAGGCCCGCGGCTCCCTTGGGCAGGACAAGACAGGGAAATGCAGAGCTAGAGCTAGAAAGGATGCTGGGTTACCATGTTAGCCAAGTTCTTGGTCAAGATTGGGGTTTGAGTGGAAGTTGTAAATTCACGGTTTTCAGCCATCAATCAGGGGAAGGGCTGTTTGTTTTTGTTTTTGTTTTTTTAAAGCTCAGAAAAATAAGGTCCATTTATTGAATGAACACAAAGAGTTAAAGATGTACACACATTTTTTTCTCTTCCATTTCTCCTGCTGGGTGTTGGGAGAGCAAATGAAAGGGAATGGGATTTTATGAGGGTGGTAGCACTTTGCCCATTGAGTCTATAACTGAGCAGGTCCCAGGACAGACCCCTACCGCATATCCTCTGCTGCAGCTCCCCTCTGAAGCACCCAGATAATAGTATCTCATATATATTTCCTGAGTTTTTCAGATGCTTAAAACCATCACCAAAGGGAAGAAATTAACTACCTGATGATCAAAAGCATGTAGCCCCCAGACCTTCTGGCACCTAGGGGTTGACAGTGTTGACCGCCCTGTTACCTCCACATCAACCAGTCAGGTACCCTGCGACCCCTCACGCCCCTCCCTCACCTGGCCTTTGAATATGCTTTGCTGAAACCCTTCCAGGAGTTCGGAGTTTTCTTGGGCATGAGGTGCCCTGTTCTCCCTGCTCGGCCCTGCAATAAACCTTTCTCTGCTCTAAACTCTGATGTTTCAGTTTCTTTGTCCTCATGGTGCGGTGGGCACGTGAACTTGCCTTTGGTAATAAGTCTCTTTGCATTGTATTAGAAAAAAAAAGTCTGCAGATAGGAATAACGTGATAATGTAGGAATAACATGATAATATCATCTTGCCGGAAGAATACTCTACAGATCTGAATTTTTTTCTCATATTCCAGTTGCAGGTTCACATGCAAGGTCCAGATACTACGCCAACAGCCTAAAATGTATGTAAATGACATAGCCAGCAGTGAAATATGTGGAAAATAATTAGTTACATAATCAGATGACTCTGAGACATCACATGTACACGTCTCTTTAGTAAGTGGAAAAGTCACCATTTCTGAACAAGAACCCGAGGACCAAATGCTGGGCCTCGTTTCGGCAGGGACAGGTGGAAAGTGTTATTCTCAACAACACACAGCACTCATTTACACTTGATTTGTTACCTATTTTTCAAAATCTGTAAGAGCTGTTATGCACTAATAGGGAAAATATCTTGGCGCATTTATTCATTTCTGTATTTATTTTCCATTTCTTTGTGGCACTTTCTCTGGGCATGCTCATTTAAGAAGAGTCAAAAATGGATGTCAAGTGTTAGCGCTCAACGTTATCTTCAGTACTGTGAACAGCTGGTGATTGCGAGGAAATCCTGCCTTTGAGAATTGAATACATTCCCTACAAATATGTTGCAACCCTTCCCACCATTTTACCCAAATGACTCTTTGTCAAGGTCAACGGTGATCACTTTGTTGCTAAATTCAGTAGTCACTTCTCAGGCAGATCAGAAGTCATCCATCTCTCAGCAGCATTTTAAACAGCTGATGTTCTGTCTTGACACTCCTTCACTTTGTCCTGTGGATGCCCTCTGTCTTTCCTCTCTTCCTACCGTGCTGACTGCTCCTCAGCTGCTTTCCTGGTTTCTCCCTAAGTTCCTGGCCCCTGGAGGGCTCCCGGCCTCAGTGCCCAGGCTCTGCTCTGCACCTCCTGTGCTCTCTCCCACAATCCTCTCATCCAGCCCCGGGCTCCAAGCAGCACCCTTGCACTAACACTCTTACATCACTGGCGAGAGCCCTGAATCTCCTGATGCGTGGAGCTCTGACGCCTGCTGGGCATCTCTGCCAGAGTGTCTCCAGGGGCTCTCACATCCAAAACCCTGGTTCCTAGTTTCCAAGCAGAGCCACATGCTATCAGCCTCCAAGGTAACAAGCTAACCTATTAGCACAGGAGATTTGGAAGGATGGGAGAGGCAGAGTCACAAACACTTTCCTGGGAACAGGGATGGGGTGGACAAACACTAAACTGCCTAATGTCTGACCTCATTTCTCTGTGCCTCGGTTTCCTCATCTAGAAAGTGGGAATAATAATCAGAAATGCCTCATTGGACAGCTGAAAAAAATGGATGAGATCACCCATGTAAAGTCTTAGTAAAGGGACTGGCACTCAGTAAATGCCCAATAAATATGGGCCATTGTTGGGGATGAAAAAAAAAACCCAAAAACTGAATGAAAAAGACATAACACGTCTCTAACAGCCTGATTTCCTTTCCTCTGCGGATGTGTGCTCTTCCAGGAAATGGCAACTCCACTCCACTCTAAGACCCGCTGTTCAGTCTTAGACTCTGGGGTTACCTTTGAGTCCTCCCTCCCATCCCTACCCTGACCCTAATAAATCCTGGAGGATCTACCCTCAAAAGAGATCTGGAATCTGACCGTTCCTTATCCACTCAACTGCCACAGCCCGAGTCTGAGTCCCCATCACCTCCTGCCCAGATCACAGCACTGGCCGCCCTACGTGGACTGAAGTGATGCTACAACCTCTTCTGTTTCAGGTGAAGTCACTCCTTCAATACCCCCCTACTTCATTCAGAGCGAACACCAGAGCCTTTCGCACTGAGCCCTGGGCTTTCCTGGCCTTTTCGCTCTCTCTCGCCCTGGGCTTCCTCAGTCTGGCCACGCACTGGCTTCTCTGCTGCTTTGACACCCACCAGGGATGCTCCTGCCTTCCAGGGTTGCACAGGATTTCCCCTTCCACACAGATACGGAAGGGCCTGCTACCTCTTTCATTAAGTTTCTGCTCAAAACTCGGCTTATTTTTCTCCATAGCCCTCATGGCCAACTGACACATTTTCTGAACGCATTGATTGTCTGCTTCCTTCTCTACCCCCTGCTCTTCCCGCTGCATAGAATATAAATTCAGTGAGAGCAGGACATTGGTTTGGTTTATTTAGCAAGGTGCTTGGTACTCAAGGTACTGAGGTGCTCAATAAAATAATAAAATAGATTGAATGAATGAAATGGCAGGTGATTTATATTCCTGAGCATCTTGAAAATATTTTATAAACATCTTATGAGTTACAAGAGGTAATCACTGATTGGGACAGCCAATAATCACAAGACTCTTAAAGAAAAGTTCCTATTTTTAAGATAAAAAAATAAAAACCTAAAAAAAAAGTTCCTATTTTTAAAACTTACAGTTATCCATCCAGAATATTATAGGTGGCGGTAACCCAAGTGGAGGTCTGCAGGGAAGTACCAAAGACTGGCCATTTCGAAGTATTATTGGTTCAAGTTTTTCTTTGGTCCACAACGGTGATCCTAATAAAATAAAATGAGTTATTTCTTCTAAGTTATTTCTGCATTGGAAAATAAAAAGAGTACTAGAAAGAATGATACACCAAACTTTTGGAGACATGGTAACTTGGAATTTACCTACATTAAGATAACAACAAAAATTTGTTTTAAATACAGTGTTAAAAAATGACATTAATAGTATAAATTTGGATTCAGCAGTTCCATGTCTAGAATTTATATTAAATAAATCCTTAACAAGATGTATAACAATTTTGCTATAAGCACGGTCTTTGCAAAAGAATGAAAAACACTTATATGTATAAAGATTTGCTAAACAAATAATTGTACACCTACACTTTTGAATATCACACAGTATTATACACAAACTATACATATAAATATATAAAGTATATATATAAACAAGTCTACTTGTTTATAAAATTAATATAAAAATATACATGATATATAGGTAAGTCAGAAAGGTTATAAAGTAGTACTTCAGAATGAGCTTGTTTTAAATGCATACATACATGTCTGCCTAGATAAAAACAGAAAGAAAAGTAATTTCCTTGAATGAAAAGATTTGCAATTTTAAAATTTATTTTTTCATTTATAATTGATTTATTCTATAATGAGCACATAATATATACATAATTCTAAAAAGTTTTTAAAAATGGCCAGTGCTGCAAATGGTCACTCTTCTTTAAATACATGCTCTTGGGCTTTTGAGAGGATCTGGATACTGACCACTGCAAAAAGGGCCATAATAATACTAAGATAGTGAGGTCTCTCTATTTCCAGTGAAATTTTCAAATAAAAATGTTTAAAAAAACACATGCACCCTAATGTTCATAGCAGCACTATTTACAATAGCCAAGGTGTAGAAGCAATCTAAGTGTCTATCAACAGGTGACTGGATAAAGAAGATGTGGTACATATATATATATGCAATGGAAAACTACTCAACCATAAAAAATGACATTTTGCCAATTGCAGTAACATGGATGGACTTGGAGGGTATTATGCTAAGTGAAATAAGGCTCTTTGTACAAAGAAAAAGATACAAGTGCTATATGATATCATATAAGTGCTATATGATAGCACTTACATATGGAATCTAAAAAAATACAACAAACTAGTGAATATAACAAAAGAGAAGCAGACCCACAGTTACAGAGAACAAACTAGTGGTTACCTGTGGGGGTAGGGAGAAAGGGAGGGGCAATATAGGGGCAGGGAGTTAAGAGTACAAACTATTAGGTATAAAAAAAGCTACAAGGATGTATTGTACAACACAAGGAATAGAGCCAATACATTATAATATCTATAAATGGAGTATAACCTTTATAATTTGTGAATCACTATATTGTACACCTGTAACTTTTTAGAATATTGTACATCAACCATCCTTCAATTAAAAAAGTTTAAAGAAATAACACTTAAACCTCAATTACCCTTTTCATACTGAATTTCCTTCTATCTGGCTGTACAAAGTTAGCGTGCAGATAAGATACCTGAGAAATTATTAAGGAGATCGATTCAAGGGAGAAACACTTTTCTGCCCCCTGATGTTTTACTCTGGACTTGCACAAAAGACACACTGGATCGGCAAAGCATTAGGCGAGGAACACAGGATAAAGTGGAAAAGGCAATCATTTTCATGTAAAACAAGCCCACAGGATTGGAATGAGAGCCACTGCTTTCTCACAACAGCATCTGGATGATGTAACAGACGCCGAGTGTGGGAGCCACACTTTAAAAGGGGTCCTGATGGTGACCACGCCAGACTTACTGGATGGACGGACGACAATGTTATTGGAAATCGCGGCTCCGCGTTCATTCCTGGCTGTACACTGATAGACTCCTTCATAGGGCTCCGCTTTCCCTTCGCTCATGATGTTGATGGTGAGGGTTCCCGAGCCAGGCCTCATGGTGACAAGAGGGTCTTTATCTATGTCAAAATGAGTCCCATTCCGAGTCCAGGAGAAGCTGCCCAACACAGAAGGGATTAAGCTTGTGAACGGTCCAGAAAAATAGATTATTTACTCTTTAACACATTCCTAGCAGTTTTAGGGGTTTCTAAATAAACCCTAGGCTGGACTAGATTTTAATATTCAGTGAAAGCACCATAAACTCTGTACCTAAAATGTTTCATTGAATTGTAACTTAGAAAGGTGCTGGCCATATATTTTAAGATACCTGTCCTCAGTAACACCAACACAAATGGGACTCAATAAAGAAATCACGCACACAAATTGCCTGTCATTTTTCAAAGAAAATACTGGAGGTTGGTTTCCAAGTCACACTCTCTTAGAGCTTTATTAGCATTCTTACTGTAAACTCCGTGGTTCGTAGAATTGATAACCTGTCTATAGAAATGTCACTTGGGCTGCAGTGTAACCAGAAAGGCCCTCACAAGGACTAATACGTGTGTGCGTTTAAAGTGATCAGGCCAGGGGGAGGGAGCTCAGTGGTAAAGCATGTGCTTGGCGTGCATGAGGTCCTGGGTTCAATCCCCAGTACCTCCACTAAAAAAAATTAAAAATAAATAAATCAGTAAACCTAATTACACTCCTGTCTCCAAAAAGAAAGACACTTAGTAATATGAAATTAGACCAGTATCAGATGCCCAGATTAGAACTGTAAAAAGAAATAGAACATTAAAAAAAAAAAGTGATCAGGCCATGTCCAGTTACCAAAATGCAAAGTGTAGGCTGGGAGGAGGGGGAGAAACATAACTTCAATGGTGTTTTCAATGTTGGTTATTAAAAGTGGCAGTTCTGTGTAAAAGTATCATGAGAATTTTTAGCTCTCAGAGATGTGTTTGTAAATTCCTTAGGAAGTATTTCAAATCATCAACTGAAAAGTCCTCTTCCTCAATTTTATTTATCTTAAAAGCGCCATATATAAAAGTCACAGTTCTCATGTAATTAAATACTTGATAACTAGTCACAAATCAACCATGGCCACGCTCACACAAAAGCATGAATCTCTGAAGTTCCGCACGTCTTCCAGGCCCTCTGGGATCTCCCTTCCCACTGCTTAACCTTAGAGCAGGGGTTGCCACGTCTGCTAGGGTGGAGGCAGCGGTGGTGAGTGCCGCTGGCTTACAGCAGGTAGAGGCCAGGGATGCTGCTGAATATCCCACAATGCACAGCAGAGCTCCCGCCTCCTCAACAAACACTTATCCAGCCCCAAATACCAACAGAGCTGAGGCGGAGAAATCCCACCTGACAGGGAGTTACAGGAGGTCTTGAGTAAGTGTCAACTAAAGGAGGCTCCATCAAAGGACATCACATTAGGGCCTGAGCGCTAGACGCTGCCTAGTAATTTGGCAGAACAGATTATTTTGAAGCCAACTTTTGATGGAAGTTTTTGATCCCCTTAGGTATTTAGGACCAATTAATTTTTTTCTCAGTTGCCAGTCTATGATAGATCAATAAGGCAGGTAATAGACAAATTCAGAAATAAAATATTTAGAAAACTTTCCTTTTTTTAAAACTTAAAATAATCCACATTATACTGCAATAATCATAACTGAGCAGGATCAGACCTCCAGGGTCAGATACCTCCCCCATATCCTCTGCAGCAGCTCCCCTCTGAAGCACTCAGATAACAGTATCTCATATATATTTCCTGAGTTTTTCAGATGCTGAAAACCACCACCAAAGGGAAGAAATCAACTGCCTGATGATTGGGAGCACTAGCCCCCAGACCTTCTGGTGCCTAGGGCTTGATAGTGTTGACCATCCTGTTCCCTCGGCATCATCCAGTCAGAGAACCGTGCACGAGTTGATCACCTTTAAATATGCTTTGCTGAAACCCTTTGAGGACTTCGGGGTTTTCTTGGGCATGAGCCATCCCATCCTCCTTGCTCGGCCCTGCAATAAACCTTTCTCTGCTCCAAACTCTGATGTTTCAGCTTGTCTGGCCTCATGGTGCAGCAGGTACACGAACTTGCTTTCGGTAACTTAATCATAACTCAACTCTCCAAAATTTCCATATATTACTGGACAGGTTACAGAGCATCCATTCATGAGCTGTGGGACCTTGGATGGTGACCCAGCATTATTGGGCATCCATTTCCCATCTATAAAAGATACTGGTTGAACCCAACAATGCCTAATGTCTCTCCCAACTCTAAAATGCTATGTACAGCGCTCAAGTCAAGATGTATGCAGATAATCCTGAGTACTGAACGCTGCCGTGTTTGGAAAACCACTTGGGACTATTTTAGACTTCTGCAGAGCTAGGAGAGGTCTTAGAAGATGTCAAATTCAACTTTATTTTACAGATAAAGAAACTGAGGCCCAGAGAGAAGGCATCTGCCGGTGTCACAAGGCCATCAGAAGGCTCTTTCCACATCTCCCCACAATTTTTGAGCATTTTGCACAAAGGTATCAGTACCGAAATGCAACCAACTGGGTTAAGAAGAACAAATTGCATTTAATTAAGCCGAGAGGCAGGGAAGGTACAGCTCAAGTGGTAGAGTGCATGCTTAGCATGCATGAGGTCCTAGGTTCAATCCCCAGTACCTCCAATTAAAAAAAAAAAATTAAATAAACAAACCTAATTACCTCCCCCTACAAAAAAATAAAACAAAATAGAGCAGGGCTCAGCAAACTTTAAAAAAAATAAAGAAGCTGAGAAACAAAACAATGAACCTACAGATGACACTTTAGAGATAAGCAGGACCTGAAATTAAGTTGCATGTGAATATCAATGCTTATTTTCAGTATCACAACCAAGCAGAAAGCACACCCACCTTGGAGGAGGCTTTCCTTTGGCCTCACACTGGATTACAATATTCTCCCGAGGGTCAATAATGTAATCTTTTGGAGACTGTTGAGTAATGGTTGGAGGTTGTACCACTTAATTGCAGAAAGAAGAACAATGTTAAGAAATAATTCGCTTAATATCATAATAGCAATCATTTTTTTTCTATATCAAAATTACTTACCCAAGGCTAAATACACTCCAAATTTTTTAGTAATTTCTACTGTGGCAGCAGACACCTGAGCAGATTTTTAGCTAAAAGGCTCGTAAATTTTGAAGTCAAGGCAAAACTCCCTTTTGGTCACTTTATCTGTGCTCACAAAGCGCATTCCCCCCACCCAAAAGTTTGGGGAAATAATTACCAACATAAGCTTAATATGAAGATAGTTTCTTTTCTGATGTAACAATGAGAAATTCCTCTGATTCTTTTGGTTCAAATGATGCCACTCAATGAAATTTAAGTTATGAGGTCAAGTGGCACCTTTCTTAGGAAAGAGTAACTGACTTACAGTTCATTCCTGTGCTCATGTAGATGAATATATGTAAAACAATACATAAATATATTTGAGAAGCTAATGTTAAAAAGATGGTTAAATCAGAGACCTCACGTGCCTAATTAGAGCCAGGAGGTAGGTGGCTACTAGGAACAGAGATAAAACCATCTATTTAGAAAATGAATTGAATTGGGACGCTCTCTGTTACAGGAAATAACATTATCATTTCACTCTTCAAAGTGCTATCTGATCATTTATTGTCAAATCATGGGGAGAAATCATTCTGACCTGGAACAGTTTAATCTGAAACAAGCTGATATCTGGACATCTAGCCTTCAAGTGACTCTAAGATGACCACGCCCTCCTCCTTGAGAAATCGGAATCACAGAGTGTAAAACAGGATGGGACTGGACACAACCTATTTCGACTTCTTTTGTTGCTCAGGGCAGCAAGGCTTGACTAGGAAGCCACACAGCAGAGGAGAGAGGCAAACTCTCCTGGGAGAAGCCACTGCCTTGTACGGCTCCAAGGAGAGCCATTTATATAGTCCAGTGGTTCTCAACCAGAGGCCATGTGCCTCTGCCCCGCGGGGGACGTCTGGCTGTCACCACCGGGGTGGGGTGGTACTGGCACCTGGTGGGCAGAGGCTGGGGATGCTGCTGAACATCTCACAATGCATAGGGCATCTTTACGAGGTAAAGACTTCTCCGGTTCATTCAAGTTTCTCATTTTCTGGATCATCCCTTTCCTCTCCACCTATGCTCTGTGCTTCCTTTGTGAAACCTCTTCCACCTGCCAAGCAAATATTTCCCAAAGCTTAAAAACTTCCCTCTGCTTTTGTCTTTTTTTTTTTTAATGGGGTTAATTGTTGCCAGGGCTAAAGGTATCATTTCCACATTCAAGGTTTTGTACATCTGCAAATGTGGTTCTGTTCTCTTGCTTTGTCTCCAGTCCTGCTACTGTCTGCCAGACATCTCTTACTAAACATCCAAATAAGACCTAAAATGTAGATCAAAAACTAAGCTCAGTATTGCCGTCATTCATCGCGCACCTGTAAACTGCAGGACACTGCACCGTAGCAATGTCCCCTCCCTTTCGCAAGATCCAACCCCCTCCTCGTCCTCCTGCTAAGCCAGCTGTTCTTTCCAGGCTCTTCCTCTAAACACGGGGCCCTCATTCTTCTAGCCCAGTCAGTTACTGGTGCTGGTTAGCAGTTTGGTCTAGGGGTTAAGAACTAGTCTATTTCTTACCAGCTGTGAGACATCCAGCAAGTTTCTTAGCTTCTGTAAGCCCTAGTCTCCATAGAGGGCAAGCAAGGTTGAAAGGTAGTGTCTACCTCCTAGGGTTGCAGGGAAGATTCACTAAAATCATGTGTGTAAAATTTTTAACCCATAATGGTTCAATGATATTAGCTATCTTTAAATTATCATCATCATCATTTTTATTCAGACCAGCTTCACTTCTGAGTGATCCGTTAGGCTCTAAGAGTATAGAGTTTGGGATAATGGAAAGAAGCTTGGAATTTTGCACCCAGGGAAAGGGGGCTTAGGTAGTGGGTAGGGGTGACTCATTAGCAGTGACTCAGTCCAATTCCTTGTGCTTTTCTCTGGGTGACAGAGGGGCAAGGCTGGTGGTTTCAGACCCAGAACTTCCATTCACGTGTTTGCAACAGAGCTGACCTGGCCACCACTCATAACTGCCTAGGAGTTTACCGTCAAGACGGCTTTCTTTGAAAAGTGCTTAGGTCATCTGGCAACTAACAAGGGCTTTGAAGTAATAAGGCAAGGAGGCGATTTTATACAATTTTCCTGGTTGATCCAATATTTAAGGACTTTTCAGATGCCTGAAAACTATTCTTTAAGTAGATGTTGCCCAACTGTCAAGAGGCAGCAGCATTTGAATAGAGCACGCTGCTCAGAAATGGTGTGAGTTGGGAGACTTATTTCTCTTCTGCACACTTCAAGACAATATTCAAATTCTCTGGGTCATTATACTGACGACATGTAGGAACATTGGTCTACACAGCCCTGCTGGCTGAAGAAGTATGAAAGGGTTGCAGTGACTTGGGTGAGGCACCTGCCTGTTTCTTTGCTCCTGTAAGCATTTAATAGCATTTGGAACCAGAGAGCCATTCTCTTCTCTTTAAATTCTGTGAATTTTCTCATCGAGTTACATCAGATGTGAATAAAGCTCAGAAGTTAGTCGAGCAGACTATTGGTAACAGAAAAACAGGAATACCTGAGTCTCTGGAATCATGCAGGGAATACATCAAACTTGCTTCTTGGAATTTAAAAGCAATGGTTAGCCACAGTAAACACACATGCTTAAAGAGATGTTAGTCGCAAGAATAAAATTGGGTATTTAATTCACAGTATTCATTCAAACACCAAGACACGGTCAAATTTTCACACTGCCTGGTAATGAAAGACACTTACAGTCTTCAAGAAGTTTTGCTTTTTCCCCATCAATATCAGCAGGTGAGTTGGCAGAGGATTAAAGAAAATCAGATGTTAGTGATAAGAACATGAAAACCCTGAAGGTTAAAGGCGCATCTTTTTGGGGGAGGGTAGAGCTCAGTGGTAGAGCGCGTACTTAGCATGCACAAGGTCCTGGGTTCAGTCCCCACTACCTCCATTAAAGTGAATAAACCTATTTCTCCCCCACCCCAAGACAAACAAACCAAAAAAAGGGAGGGGCATCTTGTCTATTTTATTTGACCTAAAAACTCAACTATAATAAAGGTGAAGATGGTGAGGTAGCAAGAGAAAGAAACTCCCATTAACGGTTTAGTTTATTCTGGAAGCAACTATCCCCCCAAAACACGGGAGAACAAAAGGAAGGCTGTGGGCAAAAAAAAAAAAAAAATCTCCCAGGAATAGGAATGACTAATTCCATCCCATACATGCTGTGCTAGACAAGTAATTATGTTCAATTTGAAAAATAGCTGAAATCTACAATTAATCTGAGTTGTCACACATGGTGTGGTGTCTGATCCCATTATCCCAGACATCACTATGCACGTGGTGATCATACCCAACAATGGGACAGGGCTCCATCCAAGCCACATTCAACAGTGATTTCAGGCTTTTCTATTTCTACGGTTAATCCCCGCGTCAGTAATTGCACTTTGCAGACTGCTAGCATATTTCTGCTTCAGAATTCCTCAGCCACCCGGGGGATGCTAGCACCCACACCAAGCAGCAGCTCATGGAGAAGGGGTGTAAGGAGCAGGGGCAGGGAGGAAATTACATTAGCATGCAATTCAAATGATTCTGCTGTGCTGTCTGCCATTACTACACGCAAAGGTTAATGCAGCAACGCCTGGGTTGTCCGTGACTTTCTTTTCATCACGGGTTCTGCCTTGTCTCCATTAGCAGCGATAATTGAGTTAGCCGTAGGTGACTGTTTCCCTCTGATTGTTAGACTGAGCAGTCAGATTAAAGGGGAATGTATTTAACACAAGAAAGAACAAAAACATTTCTCTCAAATGCTCATATATATCCATTAGGGCAAATATTTCGGCATTCCAACTCCAGTGGGCTTAATCAATCGCATCTTTTTTACTTTTTCGAAAATTAAAATGAAGGTCACTGAATGAATGTATTTTAAAAAGAAGTAGAAGACTGCATTTTAGCAGAGACTGGAGACTGAAGATGCACAGCAAAGGAAGTCAACAAAGCATGGGGCATCTCTCCTTAATGTCTTCCCAATGGTAGTTGCAACCTCTTTGGCAAAAAAATGACTTCCCAACAATTGAATAGCCCCAGGAAAGTGCTGTCTTCCTGGCACCTTGGAAAGCTTGCCCAACAGATGTTCTATTCAAGAAGCTAATGGATTTAAAGAGGTCCTGCAGATTAGGGATAAAGAACAAATCAATTCTGAAGTACAGTAATTGTCCAGATTGGAAATTCTGCTTTCCACTGCAGGACAAGTGAACAGTTGGAACCTAGCATTATATTTATTATTCTTACAAACAGGCCACTCAGCCCAGGGAGAGTGCAGCATATACAGTACTTCAACTCTTAAGGAAAGGGTGGGTTCCTAGAGGAGCTGTTACTTGCTCCGCTGTAAATGGCGTTTTTGTAGATGACATGTTTTATTCTCAACATTGACATCTCGGCCTTTGATCACATTTTATCAAACAAAGACCTTTCTCTTGGCTGTAGATAGATACATTTCCTAGATCTAAACTCGTATTTAAGACTCAAAATCCAAAAGTGAATTTTGCCTTGTCTGAATTAAGAGAAACGGGTTGTGGGTGGTTTGGGGATGCACAGGGGCTTGGGGTGGCTGAGAGAGAAAAGTTGACCTCTCAGCCTGTGAAGGGAGGGTGGAGAAAGGGGAGGGCATAAACACGGAGGTCTCCGTGATCATTTTAAAGCGACTCATAGGATGGTCTTGCCAGACCACTTCTGTGGAAAGTTGTCTATGGGGAGGATCGGGGCTGCCCACAATTCACTGCATCTCAGGTCAGCTCCCCCAGGGTAGCACCTGGGGGAGAGAAAGATAATGACAGGGAGGGGCAAGGTGTCTGACTGGTTCAATCGGCCATTTCTGTGGTGTGAGTCTTGAAAAACACCAGGTGCTGAAAGCAAAAGCCAAATTAATTTTGATCAGCTTGTTTGTATCACACAGATACCTCTTCCATCCACACAGTCCAGAGTGACGGCCAGGGCCAGGGAGGTTCTGATTCCTGGCCCTAATAGCTTTCAAACATTGGTACTTACGATCGAGAGGTACTTCCAGGGCACTAATCATCTGGCACAGGAAGAGAATCAGGGGCACTCTGCCTGCAGGTAAGTGCTTCTTTTTCAGCATTATTTCCAGCAGCATGAGCTTAACTCCTGGGGAGACCCACAAACTGAATTTCTTTTTCTTCCTGCACAAAAGATTTGTGTGCAACGTTTAAATAATTTTCATTCAGGAAACTGCAAAAGGACAGAAATAAGAATGACAGTGTATTAAAAGAAATGAAATGAAGAGAGGAAGTCTGCAGCACCGAAAATCAGCTCTGTATTATACATGAACTCGAAAACGGGAGCGGACTTCTAAAATATTTAACTCTTAAGACTGGAATCATCATTTATTCATAAATCAGCTAAAATTGGGTCAGAAATATTTGCAGTGATGTCAGGCAAAATCTCTCCACTCTGCTATCCTTACAGTCTTCCCATTTTATTTTATTTTATTTATTTATTTTTAAATATTTTTTTGAAGAGTGATTTATTTAGGGTTTTTTTGGGGGGGGGTAATCAGGCTTATTTATTTCCTTATTTTCAGAGGAGGTACTGGGGATTGAACCCAGGACCTCATGCATGCTAAGTATACACTCTACCACTTGAGCTATACCCGCTCCCTGCCCATTTTAAATATCTGCATTTATATCAGGGGCTACCATGTTCCTAACAGATCAGGAAACCTTGGCTTATAAATCAGTTAAAAGGTGTGACTTTAAAAGAGGGGGGGCCGAATGGATTTTCCGTTCTAGAGATGATCTCTGGGAAAGTTCAGGGAATTGTTACAAATTCGCTTCAAACCCCAAACACTAATATACCAGCTGAGCCACCACCAAGTCACCTCCATCTCTCACCTAGCTTCTGGCAACAGATATGCCTGGGCTCTGAGTTCCAGGCTCTCCTACTGCAGACGCCATCTGAAACAGTGCTGATTAATTTTTCCTAAAGGCTCTTTGGTTAAATATTAGGAGTAGTCACACAGGACTTATCAAATTAAGTTCAGTACATTCTTAAATAGGTAATAAAAAACCTTCTATAATCTGGCCTCAATTTTTCCTACCAAATTTATGTCCTCCTATTTTCATACAGGTATTCTTGTTTGTTTGTTTGATCGTCTGATTCTGTTTTTCTTTCTTGGGTCAATCCTTCAATATGCTTTGAATTTTCCCAATATGCTTTGAATCTGAATTCATTCCTTTTACCTGGAATGCCCTCTCCACTGTATTTCCTCATCAACATCCAATATATTTGTTTATAGAGCATTTAAAATGGAAACATTAGCTGATCACTCAAACTGGAAGTCATTCCACCCTCTGAGATTCCTGAAATTCCTTGTTTGATTCATCACATACATTACATAGGCAGATGCAGTGAGCCACATTTCCTTTTTGTGCATGCTCTCCCCAATATGCCTTCAGGCAAAGATTGTGCCTTTCCCATCTTTGTATTCCTCTCCTATGACCTAATATAGCGTGCTTTGCACAAGACACAAACACAGAACATAGACCCTGCCCCACATCAGACTCCTACCTGGACTGACAGATTTAATCCCATCTTCCCATTAATGAAGAGAGCTGTGAGTGACTGATGGCTCACTCGCTCATGCACTCTCTCTCTCTCTCTCTCACGTAGGAGGGATGCCATTAATATAAACAAGGGTGGTTCCCACAGCTTAATTACTGAATTACTTGTGTGATTTTGATTATTTCTGTAATTTTGTATTTTTTAAGTGTCCATCTTTCCCACTAAACTGAAGGCTTCGGAAGGGTAGGGACCACATCTTTGCTGTTCCCCGTCATGTGCCCGGAGTTGATCACAGTGCCTGGCACATGGTAGGGAGTAAATAAATACTTGTAAGAAAAAAAATGAAGTGAGGAAAGGGGAACTCTGAGGTTGTATTCAGAGAGGCAGTCTGGCCACAGTCTAACTAAGGCTACATTTATATTTACACTACTTGGTTTCTCTTGTCAATGCAGTCAAATTAGTTGGCATTTCACGTCTGTGTGTGGAATCGAGCTTAAATGTATAAAAGGAAAATGAAACAATGCTGAAAACATGTGTTTTACTAGCAATTGAGTTATAATCTGATTTGAACCTGATTATAACTGACATTGGACACTTCTTGCTAAACAAATACAAAAAAAACTTAACATGCTAAACATAGACATTATACATATACAGGTATTATTTTGTGAATGAAACATCCATGCTGTGTAGGTTTCATTTAAGATCCAGGAAATCTGTCTTTCTGTTTTATAATATATAAGCAATCATGACCATTAAACACCGAGAGGCAGGTAGAGAAGCTTACCCAACTCTTTCGAACCAAAAATATAAACCAGCCTTTCTGTGCCGGCAAAGCTTAGCTCTATCACTTAAATTTACTTAGGTCTCCCATGGTTTTTTCCACTGAAACGCTAATTCTAAATTTACACATAAGCCTCAAGGAAAATAATCAGAAATGGACAGCTAAACAAGTTGATGTTACATACTACACACACTGAGAGAAAGCTGTAGACCCAAACACAAAACAAACGGCAGACCTGCCTGCTTCGTGTGTTAAGCTGCTTGAGTTTATTCAATGTAAGTGCCAAGCTCTCAGAATAGATGCCGGAGAACTAAAACACTTCCCAGAAGAGCTACTGATAAACGGTAATGCCCATAAGGTCTTAGGCAACAGCGTACAATTTCTGTTGTAAGGTTTTCATTCATTACTTATTTTGCCTGGATGCCTTAACTATTCATCCTTCAAAACAGAGAAAACTGCTAGACAACTTCACAGAAAATAAATTGTCATTCTACCTGCTTTAGAATAGATACATGGAGTAAGACACTGCACGTTAAGCCACAGTGTTGTATAAAGAGAAGAGTAATATTCTTAAGAAAAATCGAGACAGCACTTACTTAAAGAGACAGGATTAAATCCTCACAATGAGAGGAGGTTATGAACCACCGTCAGTGAAGAGGTGGTCTCTCTCTTCCGAAGCCGTAAGTTCACTTGCACCAATAGCCACAAAATCATCTCCAGTGTAGGTTCTGTGTGGGGAGGACAAAGCAGTCGCCCAGCCCATCCTCCAAATTCTGCCCGTGGAAAATCACTGGCTTCTCCTACGAATGCCATCGTAGGTGAATGACCCAAAGCCCAAGGACAGCGTTAGGTCTTCAGCACTCAGTCCGAGTGAACGTCAAATGCAGACAGCTCCAGAAGGCTGAGCTTTGTCTCCGTGAGAGTACTGGGCTTTGCATGCCTCACAAAGCAAAACCACTGCTTCTGCACTCTTAGGACTGATGTCGGCGCCCTGCCCTGCTGGGAGCCCACCTGCCCGGTAATTTACCTTGGAAACTGACCGTCATTCTCTCACA